TTACAAGGTTTAACTTATTTGATTAATACCACGTTTGTCATCAATATTTATTTTGTGAAACTCATTCAAGGTGTGATGATGAGGCTAGGTTTAGTAAATCAGCCAAACCTTATATACCAATGAATTATCCTATATCAAGAAGGTAATGGTAACACATTGGGCCAAGTAGCAGTTTGAGTTACTGAAAATTGTTCTGTTGTTACTTTACTTTTGATTCTTTTGTTTTATTGATTATATTTATTGTTATAAAAATTTTTTTTGTGGTTTTCATAATTAGAATGTACTCGTTATTCTCTCTTTATCATTATGTGACATGGATAATAAAAATTCAAATCATCAAACGTATATAGTGGAATGTGCTGATTTTTTGAGAATTTTAATCCAATTGTTGATTGTTTGGAGAGTTGTTGTTCTTTTTTTCATACTTATAACGTCGTAATTTGTGTAAAGTTATCCTTTATTCTGAAATTAGTTATCTTGATGAGAATTTTGTATCTGAAACACAAATAAGTAGCATGAGTTGAGTTCTTGTCTTGTGTCCCCATGGGCTGAATGTTAGAAGAACTCACCAATCAAGTTTAATGGACCTAATTCTGCCCCATGTAACATAACTGTAATTATCATATATATATTATGTTTTCCCATTTATCTCTCGGGGAGTTATCATGTCTGTTGTTTTTATTTCATAATTTCTGATTGTTGTTGTGTTAGACCTTTTTTCCGACTTTCATGCGGAATATTTATAAATTGTTCTTTTTGCAGAAATCCAAATTGGAATAATGCCATCAATGATTTTACTGATTTACTGAAAGTAGATCCTCTCAACGCTACAGCAAGGTTGTATCGTGGTAGAGCCTATGCTAAATTGTCACAATGGATACCAGCTGTTCAAGATCTGTCAGCTGCCATTCATCTGGATCCTAGAAACTGGCAGGCATTTTATCATAGAGCTTGTATCATTAGAAAGTAAGTTTGTGTCTTTCATTTTGAAGAATTCATCTTGTATACTTAAAACTCGTGTCCGTGGGTTCTTATTTCAGTCGCTACATAGAAGTCTGGTGACCTTGAATAAGTGATCTTTCCTCATTATTCCAGTCAACCCAAAGTACGAATTATCCAGTGAAAATCATTGCCAAGAGGTTTTGCCATGGACCAGCTGGCAAACATTCTATCTTTTTTTGAATTTTGATCCAAATTTGAATATGTAACTCTATAGATATAATCTCGTAATAGTTTTCAAACTTTTTTACCTTCAGGACAAATCGTGAGAGAGCTCTACAAGATTATAGTATGTCTTTATTATTAGATGATTCAGAAGAGAATATTTTATCATATTTACATCGTGGTATACTTTATAATGATTTAGATTGGTGAGTAAGGAAAATAAAAAAATACTTCTTGTCTTCAAATATTTTTTATTTTGATATTTCCAGTAAATATCTTTGAATTTCCTATGTATGGAAATTAGGATATTCATTGATAAACATTGACTTCTATTGTGTAGCCACTTTTAGCATTTTGGTTAGCATAAATCATGACAACTTATGATGTTAAAATTTGTTTAAAAAGGCATCCTTTCAGAACATGGATGGCAAGTTTAGTAACCCTTAGAAAAATTGAACAAAACACCCTCATCTTCTATTCAATTGGATGGAAATCTTATATCCAAATTTGTGCTCTTAACATTCCCTAATATGTTTTTAATGTTCGAAAAATCTGTATTTCAGCCCAG